GAGAGCACTTTCGATTAAGGATAGTCAATAAGATTGAATATTCAACATATAATAGCAATACATACAAGATTTAAGTTGTATAACTTATGACTTGAAGCTTAAAGTGGATGCGAGGGAATGAAGATAATACCCGATTAAGATCTCATGGTCCTATCATCCCGGATCGTCGCGGTCTCTGATCTACTTAGTCAGAGAAGACAGTCGACACAACCTGACAGAAGAGTTCTTTTTAGCAACCATGAGTTGGATCGTCCATGAAATCCTTGTAGTTACAAGATGGATGTTTGTCTAAGGAGATAAATTTAAGTCAACATTAGCTAACATAATACTTTATGCTAATTAATCGTACCCTTATGATTCACAATTCAAAGAGTATTAAACTATTGGGGAACAAATGAGCTGTGATCTTGACCGTAATATAATTGTGCAATTTGACGGCAACCATCATGTCAGAGGGCTCTAGTCATAACTGCTATTTTGTGGTGTCATTTGACGGCAGAGTCGCGCGGACAGAAGACTCGGGCCATATCCTTATTGACATGCAATTACTTTGATTGTGGATATATTGATATATTTGATATGACATACAATCTTTGTGAGCTGAATTTAATCAAAATTTTGTCCCTCTCGACAAACTGCTGCAGAGGGCGGATAAAATTTGCTTTAAATCTTTAGTGATTGAGTTTTTATTTCAAATATTAGGTTTGTTACTGTGAAAATTTTAATTTTAAAAATTAACCCCTTAGGTTAAAATCTTTGATCAATAAGATCATCATCAAGATATTGATCATTTTATATTTAAAAAAGGCATTCAGTTTTAGCAGTTTAGACTTTTAGAATATAAGTCCTGTCGACTGTTGTTTTTTTTAGGAGGATCAAATTAGTTTGGTAATTTGGATTTGTAAACTCTTATTGTAGGATTTGAATGTTTATTTAAAATCTACTAGATTCGCTGACTCCAGTTCTTGCTAGGAGGAGGATCAGACTAGTTGGTAGGACTTACAACCCTGCCCTATAGACAAGGCGGGTTGATTAGCCCGCGCAATATTCTCGAACCTATTATTTGAGCATTCAATATGTTTGGTTGGAGCACATACAAGCTTTTAATTTATGTATTTGAATAACTAAAAGAATTTTGAGACTTTAAAAGCTTTTGCAACCCTTAAACCATAGCTATGATTTGCAATTTTGAACAAGAGATTTTAAAATCACGTATCAGATTCTTATCTCTATAAAACTTTTAAAGCATACACAATTTAAGAGAGTTTAAATTGAGTTTCAAAATATTTTCATTATTCCAAATTATTGCATTTGACTTAGGAATAACAAGAAGCTTATATAAACTTTAAAGACATTTAGTCATATTGAAATTATAAGTTTTTATTTGGAAATTATCACATGCAATGTTATATCTTCAAGGTTTAAGTGGGACCGTCTTCTATTCGCTACTTGACATGTTGTGAAATCGGTAGTGAATTAAGAAAGCTTCATATTTGAATCTTGCTTCGCCCTAGGAGCCTAAATCTGAAAAAATCAACCTTGAGTCTATTTTTAAACCCTACGAGCGTAATTTTAAAAAAGCTCAATTTCAAAATATTTTGAAGTCCTCTGAGCTTAAATTTTAAAGTCTTATTTTTTAATATTCGCAAGCCTTTAAAGTTTTGTGTTTTAAAAGCTATAACTTTAAAAATTTTAGAACCTAAAAAGCTTAAATATTTAAAAAAATAAAAAAGGTCCCTGATATTTTATGACCCTAAAAGCTTAAATTTCAAAAGCTCGAGTTTCCCAATCAATTTAAAGTTTAAATGAGGCATTCTTTTTTTTTTATGAGTTTAAAAATTCCAAAATTTTAGTTTATTTACAAGTCCAAATTCACTCGGAAGTTTGGCAGTCTGTCGACATCAACCCCAATAGGAGGTACAGTAGAATGTCGACTTTTCAGTTATCTCAGAAAATCGTTGGTCAGTTTCATATGACATTGTGGTCGAGAGCAAATTTATAATTTTCATCCCAAGGTCTCAAAAGACGAGGAGCAAAAATAACATTTAACCCACAATTTTAAAAACTACGACGGGTCTTCAGTGCACCTACATGAAGGGTTAGATTGTAAATAAAGATCCCTCAATTTTGAAAAAAAATAATTCTCCAAACGAGTTTGTGTTTTTCCCCTTCTAATGGGTACTTTGCTCTCAAATAGAAGTTTTTTTTAAAAAAAAAATTCTCAAATTGCCCCAATATCGTACCACCAAGAAAGGGTCAGACCCCAATTTTTTTAAAAAAGGAATTTTCCAAATGAGTATAGTTTTCCCCGCCTAACAGGTACTTTGATCTGATTGAATGGAGGTTTTTAAAAATTTCCCTGATTGCCCCAAAATTGTTTTCAGGTAGGGCAAATGATTTTAGAGTTTGCTTGATTACACAAAATGAGAGCTTCAATTTAGACAAGTTAAGAAATTAAGAAGCGAATGACATATATCGGGCTGGGGCAATGGAGAAAATTTTTCATATGGAGTCCAGACGTAGCTCTGTGTGCAGACTCCAGTAATATGTCACTATTTGTGCTACATCAATCCCACCTAAAAAAATATTGAGGTGGAATTGCGAAGGTTATTGCAGTGGAACCACTATTGTTATTGAGAGGATTATTGATGAATATTGAGACATTAACTTCATTAACGCCGTAATAACCCCTTAATAATCCTCAAATAACGTTTCAATAATCTCTGTTATTTCACTCCAATAACCCCCTATAATAACCAAAAAATTTTCTGTGCTGACTCCTGACGTAGCTCTACGTGCGGCGTAGAGTATTCCTGAGTTATTTTCAGATTATTTCTGGGTTATTTTTAATAATCCCGAAATAACCCAGAAATAACCCGCGATCTTTATTTCTGGGTTATTTTGGGATTATTAAAAATAACTCAAAAATAATCTAAAAATAATTCAGGAATAACCTACACTGCACGTAGAGGTACATCAGGTGTCAAGACAGAAAATACGTGCCACAATAACCCCCAAGAAACCATGTGATCTACTTAAATAACCATTACAATAAACTTCCATAATAATCCCCCAAAGTTCGGCTTCAATGATCCCTGTATTAACTCCACAGTAACCCCCAAGTAACATCCACTGTAATAACCTCCTCCGCTGATTAACTTCAATAATCCGCTTGCGGCGTGGGATGGTGGAAGTGGTGATGCACAACTTGGAATAGATGTGTCCCTGTCGTGCGTGAGGTAGAGAGAAGAGACGATGAACAGGGAACAAAAAATTAACAGATGCTTTCATTTTTTTTAATAACGTTTTTTTTTTTAAATTAAATCTCGCGAGGATGGGGAGACAGGATTTCTGTTGAGCGGCTTTCAACAGAGGCTTTCATTTTTTTTAATTACGTTTTTTTTTAAATTAAATCTCGCGAGGATGGGAGACAGGATTTCTGTTGAGCGGCTTTCAACAGAGGGGAATCAATTGATTGTATGGGTTTCAAATAAGTATTTCTGTGGCTGTCGTGAGTGGGGAAGACAAGGACGGGCACGGGAAAATAGGAATCACGGTAGAAAACAGACAAAGTAGAAAGAAGATTTTAGGCTTTTAACGGGAAAATTTGGTAGAAGGAAGAACATGTGAAGGGAGAACAGTGCAAACCTGTATGTGATTTGGTGAAGAATGGCAAGGCTTCATCGATTGAAATCAGGAAGAGACAGATGCCGTAATTGCAAAGGACAGAAAAATCAATGAGGAAGACAGAAACCGTCCAAAAGAAAGAGTACGAATGAATGTCAAAGAGGCTTTCGTTCGTGCTTGTAACAGTGGAAGAGCATTATTTATTTATTTATTATTTCTTTTTCTTCGTGTTTCTTTCTTCTTCCTTTTCTGTTTTTCTTATACCGTCAACACAACTCAAATAGGGTTACAACTCCACATACTAAAATCAGCCCTTATCCCTCCTATAAATAAGAGAGGATTAGAGTACGCTAATAAAAATAGAAAATGACCAATTTACTTCTTATCCAAACAGAACTCTAATACATCAAGTATGCCATAATAATTGGCAATTATGAAAATTATAAATGAGGCAGTTTAGTTGAACTTGGGAGGGCTATGGTTCTATGTTCAACATTGTGACTATTATGTTTAAAATTATGTTGATACATTCAATGAGAAGTATTACTTTGTGGAAATTTCAAAGAGTGCCCTTTATTTTATTATGTAATTGTGGAAATTGCTTGCATGAGATTTGTCAAACACACCTAATTTTATTGGCATATTGTTGCAAGCAAAACAAATCAACATTAGTTGATATAGAACATAGACTTCAAAAGAAATTATCATTGGAAGAACATTGGGACCAATTGTATGTTTGGTTTAAGATTATAAATAAAATGATGCTTGAATGTTTGAATATTTTGTATGGTTTTTTTGCCTTTTAACTAAGCATTATTTGCCTCTGGACTATTTTGAAACCATTATCTATTTGTTTTGTTAAGATTTTAAGTGAGAGATTATGAATGAATTTAGTAGAAACTCCAAAAAAATTATGTGAGACTTTATCTAGATTTTTTAGTATTGATGAATATTTCAAACATCATGTTAAAATTATTGCGTTTATGACTAAATTTTCCTGCAATAATCATTACCTTATTCTGTAAAGCTTGTTAAGTATATGCCTTCACAAAAAACATGCTTAGTCAAGTATGACCTTGTTAAAGAAACTTTATAATTTATGAGGATTCTTTAAAAAATGTTTTGGATGTAGAAGATGATTTATTAGTACACTATGAATCTATATATGATCTCAATTGAATCCGAACTTGTATCTTCATTAAAACATAGTTATGAAACTAAATCTATAATTGAACAACAGTTCGAAATGAGTCTAAAATTGAAGGTGAGTGTGAAGCCATATTAGAGCTTGAGTTTTTGAGACAAAGTAAATCAGACCTTGAAGCTGAACTTAAAACCAGAATTAAGCAAGATTGATATTCCAAATTTGAAGTCGACTTCGAGCATGAGGTCATTGTTGAATCTAAACCTTTTTTTATAAAGTGATTTTGAAATAGAAAATGTACTTGTGACCCTTATTTTGACTGAACCTGCAACTTGAATTGTATAGTTATAGCTTTAATTAGAAACTAAGTATAATTTTTGCACGTGAACATGAATCTATGATTTTATATTAGAAATTAAATCTGTCTTGAATATGCAAGCGAATAAACAAGCTTTTCGTAATAGATGAATCAATTGAACAAGATTTAACTCTTTATGAGGTTTTTAGTGAAGTTATTTTTACAAATCAAATTGAAATTATTGTTATTATTATTTTTGTTTTTTTTGGTTCATTGATTCCATATTCCTACAAAGAAAGGGAACCTTATGGAGAAAACTAGATTGTGTCAATATTTCAAATAATTTGTTAACATGGATTGTCTGTAAGTAAGCTTGAAATTTAAAATTTCATTTGTTTGATCATGTTTAATGGAACACATTATACATATTTGATTTGTAAGCTATTTGGAAATTTTTTTTTGAAAGAACTTGTCCATCCATAAAAGCATAATGTATTTTTGTTGTTTATTTGCTTTAAATTTACTTTTTCATCTTGTCGAGTATTGATTATAGGTTTTTATTAGTCTCTTAGGATGCTTAATTGTGTGTCACTATTTTCATTACTTGCCTTGTATCATAACAGGACAGACGAGCTCCTAAAGAAATTTTTTATTTTTTGTTTTACACTTGATTATATTGAAATTTCATTATTATTATTATTATTTTAATTTTATGCTACTGATCTAATGATTTTAGTGTGGCTTTCGTCAGTTTGCTATACATGAAGCTGGGGTGATGCATGTCTTAGTAACCGGCGGAGCTGGCTATATCGGATCACACGCAACTCTTCGACTCTTAAAGGACTCCTATAGAGTAACCATAGTGGTATGCTTCAATTTTTGTATCAATCTTAGAGTTTCGATCTCTTTGTTTTTTTCTATAATTTTATTTTCAAACTATTAAGACAGATTTTTGGCCCCAATTTGACAGGATAATCTTTCTAGGGGAAATATTGGGGCTGTTAAAACTCTCCAGAAGTTATTTCCAGAGCCTGGAAGGCTTCAGTTTATTTATGCTGATTTAGGTGATGCTAAAGTTGTATCCTTATAGTTTGCAAGGTTAACATATATATACGACTACTAGTTCTTTCATTTTTTGTAAAATGGGGGACTGTTCCTTAAATACAATTAGGTTGACCGCATATTTGCACAAAATGCATTTGATGCTGTGATGCACTTTGCAGCAGTGGCTTACGTTGGTGAGAGTACTCTCGAACCTCTCAGGTAAGCTTACTTTTTCTTTAATGGATGATTTGGGAATTTCGCTACTTTTTTTTATGCATGGGATGGATTTGTAGTTCATTTTAAACACTTAATTGAGTACCCCTTATGTAGAAGTTAGTTACTATTGAAGATGCAAAAGAAAAGACTTGTCAAGTTTTTTTTTTCTTTTTTCTTAATTTTAAAATCCAAGTTGTTTTGTGTTTAAAAAAGAAACTCAAAACAAGTTCTATATGTTTTTAAAATTTTAAAAACAGGGTGGTTGGCAAGGTGTTGGTGATGGTTTGGCTTCTCCATAGTACAAAGCTTCTACTGAAGGCGGTGGAGATGATGAAGAGGGAGGATCAGTGGATGAATTTTATCTAACCAGTGCTTTTTGCTTCTAAAAATAATAAATATATAAGGAAAACAAAAATATTTTTACTACAAATTATAACAAATATAAAATAAAAATAAGTAAATCTAAAGTTTAAAATAATAAAAAATAATTAATAGAAAATGATACCAAACAGGCAAGGGATTAGATTTACCGCTTGGTCTGTTAAAAATGAAATGCAATGCAAAAGATTTGCAGAAAACTATGGTTACAATGTATTTGAAATACTTTTGCATTGTTTGATTCACTGTAGAATAAATGTAGAAGACTTATATTTTTTTGTTCGGTTCGAAGTATATTGAAAATAATGTATTCACTAGGGCAAAGGGTAGTAGGCGGCGACAACGGGCGGTGGGCGAGGACAAGGAGCGGCAAAGGGCTGGTGCAGGCTGCGGGCGGCTGTGACCGGCAGCGTGGGGCGGTGGAGGTGGGCGGCAGGCAATGACGACTTGCCTATAATAATTTAAAGAAGTAATTAAAATTCGGTCAAATCGGCCTAATTCTAAATTTCAGCAAAAATGAACTGCGTTGTAAACTTCAAGTTCATTAAAACTCTACTTTGTATTTGTAAATTTTCATACCAATCATATAATTTTATCAAATCCCTGCAAAAGAATTATAGTACACCACTAATTCACTCAACCAAACAGTCCCTAAGTGCATTACCTTTATCTTCTACAACAGCTAGAAGAATGTAGGCTGCTATGATTTTTTTCCCCTTAAAACATTCAACTGACATATGTTGTTAAACTAGTTTGTAGATTACTTCACTGAAGTGTGCTAATGAATCTAGTTGATGTCGACAAATAAAACTGGATGTTTAAGCAGTAAAATTTTTTAAACAAGTTTGATAGGAAATTGTGTAGAATATCTATTCTTAATGTAGTTCCGACTTTTCTTCAAATTACTATGTATTTATTATGTTATGCCTATTAGTTTTCTATTGGCTAACACTTTGCAGTTTCAATAAGTATTTCAAAACTGTAATTTAATAATGAGTTCTATAGAAGGAGATCAAAATGGTACCCTGACTATTTGCAGCGCCCAAAATAGTCTCAGAGTATGCTAATTTAGTCCTCAGACTATGAGTCTGTTTGGCGCAGCTGTTGATTATTTATAATTTGCTGATAATTAGATTATTCTGATAATCTGCAGATTATCAGAATAAGCTGATTTGCTATTTGAGACAACTTACTGGGAGCTGTTATTGAATAAATGATCATTCAGCCTTATTTAGTTAAGATGTTTGCAACAAAACTGTTTATGAAAAATAATAGATAAAACAGATGTCTCAAACTATTATAGTTCAATTGCAAAAATTAAAGTACATTGCTCACTATTTTGTGAGTATCAAAAGAAATAAAATAAAAACAATACAATTACAATTACATGTTAAAAAATTAAAACGTTCAATTTAAAACTCTGACGTCGTCTATCCTTAGCGGCACTGTCCTCTTGGAAAACCATCATAACACGATCACTGTCGTCATGGGAGTATGTCGGAATGTCGGTCTAACGGAATAAACCACATCTTGCTGAAACACCACTCTGACAGTTGTAAAACTGTCTCCCACTGCTATGAGGCTAGTGTGACGTGAGTAAGGGAGCTGGTAGTTCGCAGTAACACAACACAACTCGGGAGGTAACACAACACAACTCGGGAGGTACTCGGGAGGTCTATGAAATCCTAGAGCTTATGCTATTAGTGAGATAAAACAACCAAAAAAGATAATTTGTCAGATCATAAAATTAAATTAAACTTTATATATGAGAACCGAAATAAAGGAAAATCGGTTCGACCGAAATACACAATTATTTTCTATCATCACTGGCCTCGCACACTCACAAAAAAAAAGAAAACAAAAACAAAACAAAAATATAAACAAAACAAAACAAAACAAATAATTTAAAACAAAATGCAAATTCATACTACAACGAATTACATCTCAAATGAAAAATACGAAATTTTTAATAAAACCATAAAATTCAAATCCATACTACAATGAATTACATCTCAAATAAACATATAATAAATAAAGAAGCGTATTGAATCAACATCCAGATATAACATCTGCGATAGACTCCCTTAAAACAGTCATCTCGGCTACACCTTCACCGTTTTGAGTTTCAAATTCAATCGACTTGATCTCATCCTTGGGTAATGATTGACCAGCGAAAGATTCTGATTGTTCTGGAGAGTCAATAAGTTCATTGTCATCAACCAAAGTGAAGATCGTATTTGATTGAGAGGGATGTCGTCGGATGAAATTGTGACGTGTCATAGTGGCCACCACAATATATAATTGTTTGGGAAATAGATACGACGACATATCACGTAAGACAACTAATTTTTTTCTTCCACACCCTAAATATTATTTCAATTACCTAGCTTAAAGAGGAGTGTCGTTTGTTAAACATTTCTTTTCTGCCACGGATCGTGTCACTTGCTCGCTCAAAATCAGCGCTCAAAATCAGGAATATTGTATAAAATCAGGAATATTGTATCTGGTGTCAGGGTAGGGCTTCAGGTAGTCCCTCAACATCGGATATCCGACATCAACCAAATAATACTTTTCTGTTATGAAAGACAATATTAATGAAAAATAATACTTGTAATTTATAGGTTTAAGTGAGATGAACAAACCTGGAGGTGGGTGAGGTGGGTGAGTGGGTGAGGGAAACATTGTGTTCTATTCCTAGTTGCATAGAAAAAAAACTACTGTCATGTGCACTTCCTTTCATCCCGCCATTACAATGTGAAGCAGATATTGAAGTCACGCACTGTCATGATATTTTGGGTAGTTGTACCACTCCGACTAATGTACGCGATCTTTTCATGACTTGGTAATCGCGCATCTACATGTGTACCATCGATTGCCTAATGCAGTTCTGTTACTCATAGTTAGTGAAGCTAAAGTAACAAACTAATAAAACTTACTTTAAAATACAGCATGTAACGGGGATCATTTGTAATTTGTTCAGGAATAATTGCGAACGATGGATCCGCTTGCTTAATCTTTTGTGCTACTATGCTCACAAGTGCTTGTATAGCTTTGGAGAAATATCGACTAATTGTTTCTGAGGAATGTTGAAATCACTTCATAGCTCCTCTAACTGATTTATTCTGTGAGAGAATATATGATGTTATCGCCAACACCTCTATCGTGGTTGTATCTATCGTCCTTTTCATGGAGACTGTGGTTACGACATAACTCATGTAGAAGATCCATAAAAATGGGCGCAGTCATTCGAAAAATACAATAATTAACAAAATAAGATTCTATTTATTACCTCCAATCTTTCAGCCCACCATTCATCTGGAGCATCGATTTTTCGCTTAACGGGATCGCAACCCAAACTTGTGGATCCACGTTTGAGCTCCTTCCAAAATTTTCACTCCTTCAACTGATCCCATTTATTTTTAAATTTGAGTCTGTTGTATTCCCTCTCTGTCAATTCTTTGAACCTTCTAGCAATATTTTGTCAACCTTCCTTATTGAAATATGTAGTTGACCTATTTCCAGTTCTATTTCTTTAATACATAGATCGCAAAAAATATTTGTTACTTCTTTATCCCACATAACACACAGTCCCCCTTCAGCCGCCTTAGACATGTTGGAACTATATGGAACAAAGGAAAATATGGAACAAAGGCAAAGGAAAATAAGTACTTGCATTACCCGATACACCAAGCATTTTCATAGTGTTGCAATTTTCTTATCAAAACAAAAAATAAAAGTACACAAAAAAATTATGTGGTTCGATCAAAGACCTACATCTACATAAAAGAATCAAACATGTTTTATTAAGCTATTGTGTTAGTTTACATGGTTTTGAATCTCAATGAAGAACAATACAACATGCTCTCTTGTGCTAATCAACTAACCAATAAAGTGTAGAAATCACCAACAATGACTAATTTATATATATATTAAAGAAACTTTGAAGAAATGAAGCAAATATAAGTAGTTAGAAGCAAACAGATAGCCCCCAACCAAAATATCCAGCACGAGAAGGTATTCCACGAAGACAGAACACGAGAAGCAAACAGATAGCCCCTCATCATGGGAAGCAAACAGATAGCCCCTCATCATCCAGCGCTGCTTGGCAAAGTTTGCATACATCAGCTAAAATTAGACCTATAATAATATTATAAGCTCCAACCCGTATGTGCTATTTTGATTTACCCAAGCCTCTCTTCAAAGTTTGATGCCTGCATTGCTATGCAATGCCATGCATTATAGATATTACAATCCCCAAAATTCATTTGATAATTGATACAAAAAATTAATAGTAACACTCTAATAAATAGAAATAACAAAAATGTCGTCGCAACCCATTTTAGTGTAACCAAGCCTTAAAATGATATTACAATCCTTAAAATGATATATATAGATGTTACAGTCCCCGAGCCTCTCTTTTATAGCTGTTTTTCAGCCTTAAAATGTCTTCTTTTAAATGAGCTCTTTTTATTACCGTAAGTCTTTGACGAGAATCAGAAAAAAATTCCCAAATTTCAAAAACTTGTGCTATTTTATGTAACAATGCCAAGCTAACATTGCCAAATTTCACAACATTCTGAAAAGTTAAGCATTTAACATTGCCAAGTTTGCAAATGCTTTAAATACACAATGCCAAACTAACATTGCCAAACTAACATTGCCAAACTAACAATTGCCAAACTAACAATTTGATAATTGCCAAACTAACATTGCCAAGTTTGCAAATGCTTCAAATAAAAATTTTTGCGAACGTGGGAATCAGAAAATTTAAGCATTCAACATAAGCCTGAAAGGATGTCAACCCTCATTACAATCACTACTACATACAATAGAAATTTTTGGGTGGCTTGTATGTATCTGCCCCTCAACATTTTTTTTTGTCTTCCCCCAAGTTCCAAATCAGCATTAATCGGCCATCCAAAAAATTGGCAAACTTCCAATATGTCTAATGAAGATAGGGGCATTAGAGAAGACTGCGAAAACATCAGTAATAGCATGCCTTTACAGAACAAAATAAAAACTTCTAGGCACTCCAATTATCAAATGCTTTTGACCCTAAAACAAATGCGTGAATCTTGTTGGTAACCAATCCCTTCGTAACATTCTTCAATGCATATCAATTGCCACAAACTTTGGGTTTGAATTCCCAAATATATATTTACATAAATATCAACCCCACAGATTTGTAGTATAAAAAAAAATTCAGAGAATGGTAAATTCCGAAAAGAATCGTACACATCCTAAAAAACTAATTCGTGCCCAAGAACTTTCTGAATGGTAAAGAAACTCTCAGAATAACGATTTTCAGAGCTTCAAACGCTTGCATTATAAGTCTGAGTTCAAGAAGAACCCTCCTATATTCCTCACGCCCAACAAAGAAGAAGAAGAAAATCATTCTCATTCTTGGACTATTGAAATAAAAAGAAGATGAAGAAAATCTTTGCTATTCAGTTAAGGAGGAAAAAGAAGCATTGACGGTGAGGGAAAACATACCTTACGAATCAGAAAGAAAAATCGAAAAAGAAAAATCGAAAGGAAGAATATTCGATCTCCTCTAGGGTGATGAATCAAAAAGGAATCTTGGGACGGAGAGGGCGAGAGAGATCAGGGGTACCTCCGAAATTGCTAGGGCAAGGGCGGTGGTGAACGCGGGACGGCGGGTCTTTACCTGTGTCGAAGCCTATTAAGGATTTCCCGGATGTGGACGCGGTGCGACACGAATAATTTTTGCGAACGTGGGAACCAAACAGTGCCGCCGCACCCGAATAAGCAGGCCCTATATAAGTAGGAACCTAAATGATTCTCCAATAAAAGACTGTTTTAGTTCCCATTTAAATTGTCTGAGGATTGTATTAGTCCCTATTTAAATAGTCTGGGATTTAATTTGGTATTTTGCACAGCCTTGGATCATTTTGATTATTTTCTTGAGTTAAATTTTGCCATTTTGAGCTGGTTGTGGCTTCATTCCCATTTTGAAAATTTTGCCATTTTGAGCTGGTTGTGGCTTCATTCCCGGATGTGGACGCGGTGCGACACGAATAATTTTTGCGAACGTGGGAACCAAACAGTGCCGCCGCACCCGAATAAGCAGGCCCTATATAAGTAGGAACCTAAATGATTCTCCAATAAAAGACTGTTTTAGTTCCCATTTAAATTGTCTGAGGATTGTATTAGTCCCTATTTAAATAGTCTGGGATTTAATTTGGTATTTTGCACAGCCTTGGATCATTTTGATTATTTTCTTGAGTTAAATTTTGCCATTTTGAGCTGGTTGTGGCTTCATTCAACAGATATTATCACAACATTACTTCAAACACTTTGGTCATTCTGGAGGCCATGGCAAAGCATGGTGTTAGAACCCTGATATACTCTAGCACCTGTGCAACGTATGGAGAACCTGAGAAAATGCCCATTACTGAAAATACTCCTCAGGTTAGTGATTGATGTGCAAATGAGTGCTATTCTATTTAATGATTTTGAACATAAAACATATCAACAATTTGTTTTCTGGTTGTTATTTTTGCCCATAAAATTCTGAAATTGTACAGCAAAAATATTACCAAACAAACCCGTTGCTGAAGTTTTCTTCTTATAATCATCCAGGTTCCCATTAATCCATACGGGAGGGCCAAAAAAATGGCTGAAGATATCATCCTTGACTTTTCAAAGACTACAGACATGGCCATTATGATTCTAAGGTTTATTTCTCTTGACATTTTGTGAAAATTCCTAAATTACATATATCACCTATGATGCTTTGTTTCTAATATATACATGTACATACATATATTTCTTGATGTTGCCATTATTAGATATTTCAATGTCATCGGATCTGATCCGGAAGGAAGGCTAGGTGAAGCCCCTAGACCAGAGCTGCGGGACCAGGGGCGCATCTCAGGCGCGTGTTTCGATGCTGCTCGAGGAATCATACCAGGACTAAAGGTAAAGATTGGACTTTGCTTCGCCAAACAAACCTTACAAAAGTGCGAATTTAACAGCTTTGTAATTTTTTTAAAATTTGGAATTTGTAGGTTAGAGGAGCAGACTACCCTACTCATGATGGTACTTGTATAAGAGATTATATTGATGTAACAGATCTAGTTGATGCTCATGTAAAAGCTCTCACCAAGGCAAGGCCTAAAAATGTTGGCATCTACAATGTTGGAACTGGAAAAGGTCAGGCAGTATATATATAAAGTAGGGGCATTTACATACATGCCAATCAATTCCTAAGCATTTACATAAACTTTGCTTGTTACATTTATACCACCCCAATCTTTCATATCACATTAAAAATATTATTATTTTAACTTTTAAAAAGTGAAATACACATGTTCTCATATATGTAAAACTTAAAGTTTTGTTATTAGATATGTAAATGCATAAAAAATTGAGTTGTATGTATGTAAAGCTTCCCTTTTTATGTTTTGATCTGACTAAAATATTTGATTTTTGAGTAGAACTTCTCAATTTGTAATATTCTTGACACACAAACTTGCTTATAAACTGTGTTATCAGGAAGATCAGTGAAGGAATTTGTAGAAAGTTGCAAGAAAGCTACCGGTGTGGACATAAAAGTTGATTACTTGGAAAGAAGACCTGGGGATTATGCGGAAGTTTACAGTAACCCTTCCAAGATCAAAAAAGAACTGAACTGGACGGCAAGGTATACTGACCTTGAACAGAGCCTCCGGACCGCATGGAGATGGCAGAAGTCGCATAGAAATGGATACGACACATCCATTTCCTCTTAAAGCAATTTCTCTCTTAAAACTCTCAATTATAAGAGAATTGGCAGTGGATCTGAAGTTTCAGAATTTGCAGAAGAGCTCTTTTATTTGTGAATTTTAGGTATGAAGCAGAGTTTTTTATTTTTTTTATTTTCAAAGGGATGGGAATGATGCAATAAGCGATGCAGTTGATCACCATTGCTGCAATAATATTTACTCCATAGAAGTTCCATGATATGTTTTCAGTTTTTTGTAATTTTGAGGAGATATTTACTTCGGTTGCCGCCGGTTTTATAAAACAGTAATAAAGCTTGCTTTTGCTGGGCTTCATAAATCTTGTATATTTATATGCGTAGCGAAATTAACTTCAAATTTATGCACGCGCTTGTATGGATTAAGCCTGGAATCGAAGTTTCATTTGTTGGAGCCGAAAGTATCCAACTGCTAGTCGAGAGAGATGGTATTTTTGATGTGATATGAAGATTAAGGTGGCATAGAAGTCAAAAAAATAAAGAAAGTTTTGAGTGTTGGATATGTAAATACATAGAAAGTGGGTGGCATTTACGTTAATGCCCGAAAAATTAATATCTAAATGGTGGAAGCAATTTAGAAAATTTTGATTACATGTTAGTTGGATAAGATAAAATTTCAGTTTATAATTCATTTATATGTGAGTTGTTGATCATATAATTTTTATGTCAATCGAACATATCAAGGGTGGTGGCTAAATCAAAGTACTATTCATGTATTTGTCTCCATCAAAATAAAATAGGCTTGAGCTTCTGCATTCATTTATTGTATATGGGAGCTAACCTCAAAATGTCATATTGTATTCATTCATTGCTTATTTTATTTATATAAGGTTACATTAACCATTTCTAAGGTCAGAAGGTAGGTTAATAAATCAAATTGCACCAAACTAAGCAATACTACTTTAAACTAAATAGATTAATCTAAATCATAATATATTGGAACTTAATGGATGGGTAGGGTGGGTTGGAGAGGTCGATAGGCTTGTGGTGGCGAGCGATAGATTGAGGGGTGGATGGGTACGTGTTGAGGAATTAAAGCAAAGAAAGCACATGAATCATCGAAAACACAGAGATTTAATGAAGGTTTGATAATTTGCCTACGTCTTCTTTAGGTTTCACGAAAAAAGAGTACAAATTCCCCTTTCGTGTTACAATACAATACAATATATATA